AACCGCATCAAGTGATTTTCTTTTGAGGCAGCGCAGCAGCTATGCCCTGGGGTCCCTTCAGATGACATGAATACATGACTTGTCTCTAATTTCTGGTCCATCTTGCACTGCAGCTGCATGTGTGATCTCATTCGCTTATCTCTCATGACCATAGATGAGGGTGAAAAATGTGGACAGACCAGTAAATCCAGGAACTCACACTTAAGCACTGGTTGTTTTTCAACATAACAGACTAGAGAAGCACCTAGATTTCTCTATTCATCCATTTAAAGTCACATTCGGGCCTGAAATTAGAGATCAGGCCTGAAATCTGGATGTAGTGTTGGACTCTGACCTGAACCTTCAGAGCCACATAAAGACAGTTACAAAGCCGGCCTTCTATTAGAACATTTCTCTGATTAGAGGACTGGCCTATATATTTTCGAAAATGTCAGTCTCATTGTGATGATATCAAAATCATATGGACTCCAGCTCTAATTCTCAGAAACCATTTTAAGGTTTTATTTATTTGTATTTTTTGCTTTGTGACCAACTACTGCTTTACACCACCTCAGCTCTGTTTAGATAGAAAATATTCAGTCGTTTTCCTCCTTCGTCTTTATACTTTGCTGGGATTTTCAGGCACAAAAATGATTTACTTTTTCACAGTTTACCAAAACCGTTTCCTATTTTTCAGAGGCTCTAAAGAAATTTCATTTTGTCAAGTTGTTATGAATTTATGCTTGTGCTGAAGATATTAAATTGCATAAATCCCTCTTGTTCTGGAAAAAAAAAACAACAACAGACACAGCTTCTTGGTTCAAGTTTGATTTCACATGAATCAGAGCTGATCCTGTGCATTTATGTCTCTATTTACCTTAAGTATCTTTGTCTGTTTACTCTGTTTATCTACTTTGTTGTATTTTTTTCTTCTTCTGGTTTAGCAGCTATTTCGATTATCAACACTAGGGGGCGATGTGTCTCCAAAAAGGACTTGAGATTGTTTTCTGAAGAAATCCTTGTCTGATTTGTCCCGCCGGTGACAGCAGAGATCGATCTGTTTCTAAACCAGAGCCAGCTAGAACTATGATAATAGATGCTGTCACAAATGGGTCCAGGGCATGAAAGCACATTTAAAAGAGAGAAGACTTCCTCATGTGCTTTGTTTATGTTTTTATAAAGCCTAATTTTTGGTTTTAGTTCTGTTTAAATGGAGGTTACTCACTGAAAAGACTTGACTTGTCTCCCTGAAGAAAATGCCAAAAGATTACAGGTAAATACAGATAAAATTGTGACAATGAACACGATTATATTAACCCTTTGCGACCTTCTTCCAGCCCTTAAGTAAATAGTTGCATTTCACTTTAATTAGCAAGCAGATTTATCCAAATTATGATTTCCATGCGTTTCATTTCGTGATCACTTTGTAATAACACACAACAGAGCAAACCCTTTTTTTTTTTTTTTTACTTATTTAAAAGCAGAAACAAAGGAAAAATATTTAAATTCAGAAAAACTTTGCACAGGAAAGCAGCCTCATGGGTTTCAGCTGTTAATGTGGAAAAATCAAGCACCTCCTTGTTGTGTAATATATAAAGAATATAAGTTAATTAGAGGGGCTGCTTACGCAATTATTTCTGCAGGGAGCTGTGAGTTGACACCTGTTAATAGAGGAGAAACAGCCTGAGTGGTCCAATCAGAAACCAGAGGAAATGTGACTGCTGTTCACACGGCTCTCCGGGACTTGAAACTTAACCAAGTAGCAAGAGGCAATGAGACTGTGAGCCTGTTGCACGTCAAAAGCACCTGAGCACAAACATCTATGCCTGGTTTGACTGGTTCTTTAAACGGAGCTAATGAATTTTAATTAACTGGGATTCCTCAGAGAACTGGTAAATGAACTTAAGAGCCTTTGTGTTGCACACTTGTTCAAAAATAACAAGACGCTCCTTGTTACCCTTTTGTTCAAGTGTAACAAAAACCTGTGACACTCAGACATGGGTGTAATTCAGAGATTTTCCTTCCTGGCAGCTTGCTAATTTGCTCAGCACTTTATGAGCACTTTTATATTTGATTCATAGCACCAGCTGCGGTCAGCCAAGTTACAATGAACTTTATGTTCATACAAAGGAAAACATTTATTTAGTTGAAGGCTGGGCTGGCAGTGTGGCAGAAACAAATGGCAGCCAGGATCCCATCTGAGTTTGTTCAAACTCTTGAATGTCCTGAAAGTGTTTTGTTTTCTACTTATCGTCTTGAGGCTGTTGGAGATTTTAGGAGCTTCCCAGAAGGCCATGACTTTCATTTGAAACGTTAAGTAAAACTCTGAACATTTATGTTTCTAATAATTAGTCCCCTAGTAAAATGTGCAGAATAAATTACAGTTTTAAATAGCAAAATAACAAGAATAATGTGACTGCAGTCACATGTTGAGAGAAACTAGCAAAACGTCGATTCAATGCAAAACAAATACTGGTCGCAAACTGCAGTGAATGTCTCTATCAAGTTGGTTTGATCATAAGACAAATGTTTAGAATAATATTAATATTGGAAGAACAATTTTGTATATCCATGTTAACACAGATGCTTACAATGAACTACTGCTTAATGTTAGGAGAGAACCATTAAGCGGCTGTTTTTATTTGTCCTGTATTTTCTTTTTACTTTCTCGAAACATTAAAATCCTCTTTTAGACATACAGTTTATGCTGCAGTGTTCTCATCCGTTAAACAATTCAATATTATATACTGGGCAATTTATCTTGAGATGTAGTAGAGAAACGTTTCTCTTTAATTCATTAGCAGCATTTTAACACTGCTACTAAATGTTGCAATCTTGAAACAGTTTCGGCAACTTTATTTGGCCCACGCTGTGTGCATCTTTCTCTGATTGTTCTCTCAGAGGCGGACCGGCACCGACGCACAGAAACAAAAACCGTTAAAAAGTTTCTTCTCCCAGAGCTACAACGTTACACTCACCGGCTAACCCTACTTCCACTGCACAACAAACCGTGATGTAGCACGCAGCTCAGATTCTGTAAAACTCATGAACAAAAAAAGAAATAGGCAAATAAAATATATTTTATGAGTGAATAAAATCCATAATTTAAAAAAAAAACACTGTAATAATTTAAATAAAATACTTCTAGGATGCAACATAAAGGTTGCATCTGCTCACAGCTTTGAATTTTTAAGCAGTATCCATTACTGAGTGTGTAAAGATTAAATACAAACTTAATTAAATGAAGCATCAATGTTTCTCCTTGGGGTTTCACATATGTTTACTGTTTGTAACAGAAGAGAGTGCCACTAATGTAAAGTGAATATATCGCTTTGTTCAACACCAATTTCTTCAGCATAACACAATTATTATTTCTATGAGAATTATTTGTTTTTTGTTTTTTTGTTCTTATGATTATAACTAAAGTCTAAAACATGTCAAGTTGTGCTGTTTCCCACAGTAAATAAAGGAGTAAAATTATGGTAATTTTAATTCCATATTACTGTAAAGTTGTCGTCACCAGACTTATTTTGTCTTTTTCAAGCTTAAACTTTCATGCCAGTCACCAAGGATCGATCTCTAGATTACATTCATTGTCAGGAATCAAACCAAATTAAAACAAGTGAAACATTGCTGCAGCAATTCGTGTTTGTTTGTGATTCAGAATCATTCTGGCAGGGAGGATTAATCAAAGTTTTCAGCTTTTGTTCACAGAAAGCCAGTCAAAGTGTGTCCACTTGTCCTTTTAGAGAGCGTGGGAGTTATTTGGACTCTTACACACCAGTCAATGAGAGCGTAGACTGAAGAGCAAACATCCGCCTGCAGGGCGTACGGTCAGCTGCGGTCAACCATATTACAAGTACCATTTCCTGTGGCCAACACCCACTGTTATTTAATCATTTAATATACTTTACAGTTGTAATAAAGGAAAAAATCTTGACTGTAGTTAAAATAGCTGCTCAACATAATGTCTTACTGCAGTGTGGGTTTTTCCTGATCCACAAATGGTCAAAATAATAAGCATTGGGAACAGAATATACATGCAGCTTCACTGTTATTTGGATAAATGTCCCTTTACAAGTTGTACACTGAATAAATCTTTTGCAGACATTAACAGGGTTCTGGGGTGATTCTGGTATGAAACTGAACCATTATTGTAAGCAAAATTGATAGAAGGCATTTAGATTGGATGGTTTTTTTGTCAAGCATAGTTTTTGAATTTCAGATGGAGCAGAGGTCAGAGTAAATCCACCAGCATCATGTCTGCCTGCTTCTCCAAACCCAGTATGTTTGTGTTTGGGATCATTGATCTGCTGAAACATCCAGTTGTGAGAAGAAGCTGAAGAACTCTGAGGTGATTCTATGTCAGCATGACACTGCCACCACCATGCTGAAGAGTAGATACAACTTCAGACCCTCACTTTGACTCAAATAACCGAGTCTTTATCTTGAATAACCCTAAAACTTTCTCTTAAGGGTATTTGGTTTGTCTGTGTGGACAAATACAAATTTAAATTCAGCATGACAATATCTGGTGAAATTATTGAAATTCAGGCATAGTTAGACTTTGAAAATTTTGGGAAAAAATATATATTTTTTTTTATTTAGGTGATCAATTGTAATTTTCTCCAAATACAAAGTTATTTGAAAAATACATCAGTAGTATTGTTCTTTACGGGTTATCTGATATCACTATTTTTTTTTTACCTGCAAGAGTCGTCTACAGTAGAAGGAGGGACCGGGTCGGTCGGCCATATTGGATTTAACAAAACTAATTTCTTGTATTTGCAGCTGATGGCCAGTAGTTGATAGTGTATTTTATGATGCATTAGTGTCCACTTCAGTGGTCTGTGTGCATTTATAACATAAAAATCCACAAGAAGCACAAGAAAATGGCTTTTAGACAGCTGTCCACTGTAGTGACCATTATGCATGAAAGGGTTAAGATACAAAAACCAGGTTAACATTTCAAGGTGCTTTCCTCAGACGGAGGTAGGAAATAAAATATAAACAAAAACCATATATGTTTTTATTTCTCCCTCATAATAAGACAACACCACATTTTGGAAATATTTCACCTTTGCACTGGGTAAGTTTAGACCAAAACATTTCATGTTCTGGGTTGATAGACCAGAAATAACATTTTAAAGGCAACTCCTGTGAACATGTTGCTTAAAACCGCTTAACAAGATGCTGAAATAACATTTGGTGAATTTATGGCCTCTTTTAAGCAGTGAATTACTGTAAACCTCAAGTTGTTGGTTAAGCAAATCACAATACAACTAAAATGACTTCTCATGAAAATGTGAAACAACGAGGAAGTCGAATATTTACAAAACAAATAACCTGAAAGGCGAATGATCCAATAACACAGTGACCTTTCATTGTTGTGACCTTTGCCTGATCTGCTGATGTTGCTGCAGTGGCAGCTTTATTTGGGTGGTTCCCTGTTTTCATATTAGCTTAATAGACATCCTCATGAGGTCACCAGTGATGGGTTCAGAGAGATGATCGATAATAATCAGTGTATAATTTCAATGTACTTTATATAATTCAAATAAGTACTAATGACTGACACACATTTGCCCTCTGAAAGATAATAATACTCCATCAAAATGTCGCATGAAGTAAGTTATTTAATTAAACATGTCTGATGACAGAGATGCGCTACATTTCTTTGGGAGGGGGTGAAGCGTTAATCGGATTACTTATGAGCTCAGAAGAACTATATTAACCGAGATCCTGAGCCCAAAGAGTCGCTTAGCTTGAACTCCAGAGAAGCAAAGCTGATCGGTTTATGCTGGAGAACTCCAACAAGGTAAACTTTGCATTCTTTTATTTTAGAACAATATCAACACATTTCCTAAATGTTATAACATGGAGAGAGAAACATCCTGTAGCAAGTTCTTGTACGCATTAGAAGGGGTTTGTCTTTTAATTGTGATTTTTGTTTTTTAAAGTCTCAAACAAAAAGCGTATGCTGTGTGCTCTGCAGCTCTTGTTGTCATTCTTGCGGGAGCCATTTACAGGAAAGATAACAAATAATGAATGATTGAGAGCTGAATAACCGATCATACTCTTAAGATGCATTTTATGATTTAAAATAGATTTTCAAATTAGTCTATGTTTTTGATGAATTAACCACAGGGTTTTGTCATGTTCCCGATAAGAGAGAAAATCTTTAATAATAATTTCTGTGGAAAAGCTAAAATATAAATCAATCAATTAATTACATGCCCATCTCAACCATATGAATTGTTTCATGTTACAAAGCCGGACTGTTTCCTGGTTAGAAATTACATATCTAAGCAGGGACTTTACTTGTTTTTACTTTCTCCAACCATAAAACCTCTATTTCAGACAAACAATTGATGTCCTGATCCATAAAATACCAATTCAACAGCTTTTATGTTTTCCAAAGTTGCTCAATATTCTCATGATGGTTTCTGTAAAAGGCACTATGGGGCCTGAAGCAGAATTTGATTTTCAATCAAGAACTAGATGATCTGCCATTATTTGCTGAGATGTACTTGTGAACAAACCGAGCGCAAACACAAATATTAAACTTATATCGTCAGCTTGTAGCTATTAACAATGAAGATTATTTTTTTTGCATTTTTAGAAGTAAATTGGACAATTCCTTTAGATTTTTAATTGAAATTTTATCTTTCCTGAAACACCAAGTCAAATTTAATAATATTCTCATTCTTGATTGGCAAATATAAATATTTTAAATATATAGTCTGCTTTAAAATTCGAGCAATTATGATAAATCCCTTGATGTTTTGCCAGCATTTTAAATTGCATGATTTATTTTCAGAAAAATGGAGGAAAATCGAAGCTGCTGTAATCTTGCTTCCCTGGTTGTGTTGGTCATTCTTATGTTTCCTGTGACATGTTTGACTACAGGAGACACATATAAACCACCCAGAGAGGTAAATGGACTATTTCCTTCCTAAGATATTCCGGTAACACTTTATTTGAAGGGGGGTGAATAAAACTGTCATGACACCGTCATAAACATGACATAACACCTGTCATGAAGATGAATAAGCCTTCATGAATATTTATGACTGTTGTCATAAAGCGTCATTCGGTAAATTATGACACTTTTAATACAAAGTTGACATTATTCAAAATGTCTTTGTTATGACAACTTGACATTAACCAAGAAATCATTACTGTTTAAACTTTACCTTTAATAACATAAAGTTACATAATTTTTAAAGTGCAATCAGTAATACTTTTATAACAAATTTATATCAGTAATGATTTCTTGGTTAATGTCAAGTTGTCATAAAGACATTTTGAATAATGTCAACTTTGTATTAAAAGTGTCATTATTTAATGAATGACACTTTATGACAACAGTCATAAATATTCATGAAGACTTATTCATGTTCATGACAGGTGTTATGTCATGTTTATGACAGTGTCATGACAGTCTTATTCACCCCCCTTCAAATAAAGTGTTACCGATATTCCCTCAAAATGCTTTACCTCACTCAGCACGTTTCCTCTTTGCTTTCAGAGAAGCGAAAACAAAATACTCAAGAGATTTAATCCCACTGACTACGACAACTTTGTGGGTCTTTTGGGAAAGAGACACGCTGCTTCAGCATCGAGTAAGCATTTCTTATATCATTAATCTCAAAACATTTCCGTTTTCTTGCAAGGCAGTGTTTAAGTTGGGGGTTTACAAAAATAAATTTAATTTTCTGTCTTGCGCAGATTATGCCGATCACATTCTTGCTGACCTGCTAAAACAAGAAACAGGTGAGTGGCTGCAACGTCTAAAGTCATTTATTCAGGGCAGTTTAATAACCAACTCTCTTGTTTTATCTGCTCAACAAGCCTCCAGTTTTCTATACGAACTTGAAAGGACATTTTTTGCTTTGGTGATATTGATTATATATATATATATATATATATATAAACCTTTGTAATTAAAACTTTTTTCACATCATTAAATCAAGAAGTTTGGGAGATTTGAATTAAAATTCTGAGCTTGTGATTTCAGATTTATTGATGAGGGTGTAAAGGACAAATAAAAAGCACTTTTCTTGCTAACGAGCTTCAGAAACTTAGAAATCAGTTTTGAACCTCAACTAGAGTAATTATATGTTTTATATTTGTAGGATTGTGTAAAACTAGTAGATACTTCAGACTTTTTGTTTAGGCTTTTCATGAAACTACTGGGGAGGAAAACAACCCTTGATCTGTCAGCTTGTCATGTTGATTCTTGTCAGATCTCTCCTGTGGTTGACTTATTTCTTCTCCCCAGTTGAAAATATAGTTAACATTCCTGCACTGTTGTATATCCGGCTCAAAACTTTTTCACATCTCAACCACAGAACCACGCTGCATTTTAAAGGATGCAAGACAAAAGAGATATTTTTGCATATTTTACTTTGCAAAGTAGCTCAAGCTCACTTAAAAATGTTCAAGTCTTTCCCAATTGAGGATGATTGACAGCACTAAGACCCTCCTCCTGGCTCTGATTGGTTGTTTTTGACTGGGAGTGGTGCATTTCTTCAGATAATTCAGGGAGGTGATGGAAAACATGGTGGCAGTTTTAACATGTATGGAATTTTTTTTTATTATAAAAGTTATATACTGCAGCTTCAGCAGCTAGAATCCCAAAAAGAGACTTAATACATCAATAATATGCAGAGTGTGACACTTTGTAACCTACCCAGCACTGCATTCAAGCAAAGACAATTGAGATTTAATATGTTGTGCAGCTCTAAACGTCTCAATAACTTTATCCCTGAGTTTTCTGCTGCGTTCTTTGGTTTTCAAATCTCTGAGACCTTCACAGAACAGCAGGGCTTTAATATTTAATCAAAAACAAATCAATTCCTTACACTCATTAGGCGACTTATCAAGGCACTTGACTGCACATACAGTTCTTAATCGATGTTAAAAGTTCAAAGAGTATTACACATTTGTCAGTAACTACATTTTGTCATATAGGATAATGTTTTAGCCTAATTTTTTCACTGGTGATTTAATCCTTGTGTGCAGCAGGAGCGGGTTGTGGATCAGTGCCAACATTTCTGCAGAAGACGAGGTTCAAATTCTCCAACTGTGAAAAGCAAAGGTGAGAAATGGACTTCAATCTGTCCTAAAGAAAACAAATGTGATACTAGACTGTTTGGCAACTGAACCATGTTTGATTTTCCACAGAAAACGACACCCTCTGTAATGCAGATGTCAAACATCCGTGTGTGACCAGCTGCCATAAAACCTGCAATTTCTCAAAGCTCTCCTATTCAACAGAATTATCCATTGTTGGCAGCCACAGAAGGATAAACATGCTGGTTGCCAATGAAATCACAACTGTGACATCTGTTGCAAAAATGTATCACGAAACAGTACAGTAAAATATTTATTTATAGTGATTAAAGTACCTTTCACAAAAAAAAAAAAAAAAAAAAAAAATCCCAATTTTTCTTTTGGTTCCCAAATTCCCAAACTTAAATTCCAACAACTAACATAAATACGTGTCAAGTGTCAATACAGCACTGTACATTTTTCCCTTTGAGAAAAACCTTAATATTGACAAGATTGTCAAGGAACCGGTGTCTCACTCTTCCCATTAAGAAAAAATTCAATGCAGCAGGTATTAAACATGAGCACAAGCAACGTCTTTAAAAGAGGCTTCAACATAAAACATCCCAATTCGACTGACACCGAGACGTGTGAAATCTCCTGTTAAACCATCTCCTGTTAAAAAAAAACAACGGATAAAAAAGGGAACCACACAAATAATCAGTTGTAAGACCGAGTCTGAAAGGCTTCCATGTAATACAAATTTAAAGTGATTGAAATCAAATTCAAAAGTGCAGTATGGGTTTTTTTTTCAGCCACTTCTTGGTCTTCACTTTTTCACAAACTTAAAATGTTCAGTTTATCAGACACTGTAAGTAGAAACTGCTGGACATACTTTTACACATTGTGTGTCATCTAAAAAAAAAAAAAAAAGTTTTCTCCAGTTAAACTAAAGCATACAGAAGCAAAACTGTGTCTAAAAAAAGAAGTAAACACACACTATGAAAGGCTTGAATAAAATTATCCTTTATCCTCCTTTTAATCCCCATTTTAACGTCACAGTGCAAAGTCGCGTGTGCAGCTCATGGCTCATACATTCTCAGTTCGCAAGGCACATTCTTTACGCGTCAGCTTGGGGAGAAGGATGCAGGAACTTGCCAAATGTACGTGTGTGTTAGTGTGTGTGTGTATAGTGGCAGTTTCAGGAAGCGCAGACAAATATTCTGCAACTGTTTGCTTACAGCAAACCAGGCGTTGTTTCAAAAATAAGAAATTATTCAATCAACTACTTCCTCATCCATCGAGTTTTTCCAGATGCGCCAGGAAACGTGGCTGTATGAGTGAAGCTGCTGGATGAACTGAATTAAGACAACTAACAAACCTGTATTTGTCTTCCCTCACTGGGTAACCTTTTCTCCAGCGGAGGAATCTTTGGTTGAATTATATAGATCTGGAATATTATAGTAAACATGCCTAATGTAAGTATACTGGCTCATTTACACAGGATTGGGGATATTGTAGATTAGATTAGATGTTATGGAACTAAGTAAAACAATTCACCCTCAAGTTGTGTCCAAATCTGTTTATGTTCCCTTTACAGTGCTGTGAAAAAAGTTGTAGGTACTTTTTGCGTTTTTCTAACTTATTTCAGATCAAATAAATTTTAATAGCCGACTGTCTCAATGTGAGAAGATAATTGAATCAATAATCAAACTAAATCATTTAACTAAAGTTGATCAAGACATTGTAAATGATGGGACCATGACTTTTGCTCTACCAGAAATATTCTGATGTCCGGCCATCAGAACGTGACCTAAAGCTCAAGCAAACATTTGATTGGCTCAATAAAATAAAAAAAAAAATAAAATTAAAAAAAATATATATATATATATATATTCAAGATTGGTTTTATTCAAAGTTTGAGTTGAACCTGATTGAGACATAGCATCACTTTAGAGCAGGGCTGTCCTACTAAAGTCAAGTAAATAACGTAGTCCGTGTTACTCAACTCTTAAGGATTAGACGTCGAGTTTTCAAATCTTTTAGGCTCGGTTGAACATAATTATTCTCGTATATAAAAACAGGATTTGTCTTAAATTCTTTGAAAAAGTTTGATATATTTACCCAAGTTTAATGAACTAAATAAAAAACTGACTTGGGTGCAGCAAATGTTTTACTATGTGCATTGCTGCCAAAAACTCTCTTGGTGTGTAATGTAAGGATTTGGTGTTTCTCTTTTTTAAATTGTTAGCAAAAAAAAAAGGTAATTTTTAAAGTTTCTGAACCTTCATTAGATAGCTTTTAAACATAAATTTAAAAAAAAAAAAAAAAAAAAAAAAAAAAAAAATAGTCTAAGACACCCATGGCCCTTTGGGGAAGCTTAAAAAAAAAAAAATTAAAAAAAAAAAAAAAAATAGTCTAAGACACCCATGGCCCTTTGGGGAAGCTTAAAAAAAAAAAAATTAA